GCGAGGCCGCCCAGTGGGCGGGGGGGGGGTGCGGCGGAGGACCAGGGCAGTCGCCGAGGCATCGCCCCTTGGGGCACACGTCATCGCGACCGCCATCCGCCTTGAGCAATCGTAGAGATATCCTTGTGGGAGTTGCCAAACGCTCCCGAATCAGCAGTTCGCGAACACATGGTCGAGGGTAACCGTGCCTGGACAGAGGCAGGCTGGAGATAGAAATGGGAGGCGGTGGAGGAGTCGGCAGAGGAGAAGGAGAAGAAGAATGGGGGGTGGGAGCAGGATGAGGAGGCGGCAGGGGAAGAGGAATATTAACATGACTACGAAGATTAAGGTGATGATGATGCCGGTGATGATGATGATGCTGATGACGATGATGATGATGATGATGATGAGGATGATGATGATGTTGATAATGATGATGATTCTTCTGATGATGCTGATGCTGATGATGATGGTGGTGGTGAGGATGATGGTGATGATGATGCTGCTGCTGGTGATGATAATGATGCTAATGGTGGTGATGGTGATGGTGATGGTGATGGTAATGATGATGATGATGATGCTGATGCTGACGATTCTGATGATTCTGATGATTCTGATGATGATGATGATGCTGATGCTGATGCTGATGCTGATGATGATGATGATGATGATGATGATGATGATGATGATGATGCTGATGGTGATGCTGATGACGATGCTGATGCTGATGATGATGCTCCGTAGCCATTTTGCCTCAAGTTCAAACCGTACGCCTTGGCGATTTGAGCTTGGTCGCTGCCCACGGGGTGGCTCATGCGATTGCGGCTTGGAGGGGACAGGCCCCGCTTGAGAACACTTGTTTCATCTCACCTCGCACACAGTGTTTCACGTTTCGCCCCTCGCATTTTGCAATGGCGGGCGAGGCTCCACCTGCATGGGCCCAGGCCGTGATCGCGTCGGTCACAGGCCTGGACGCGGCGCTGCAGCAGAACCTGGGGGCCCTCAGTAGCACCATCACGACAATGAAAGAGGACTTCACCCAGATGGCGGCGAGGCTGGACATCCTCGAAACCAGCATGGAGTCCTAGCAGCACTTCACGGACGCGATGGAGGACATCGCGAAGGACGCAGAGCAGCAGGTCCGCCTCAAGCGCCTCGAGGATTCTGTGGGGAGGATGGAGACCATGCTCATCACGGTGACGGGCCAGAACGGTGGTTGCTGCAGCAGTGGACCACCCTCGAGTCGTCGTCGTCTGCACAACCCTGGCTCGACGAGGTCTGGTCTTACATCTCACACGTCCCGTGCATCGACGAGCGCGGATGCACAGGAAGGCGCAGCTCGACTCGTTCTACTTGGATTCCCTCGCCCACTCATGGGGGCAACGCTGAGGAAAGCGGCTGAGATGGTGCGGGACAAGTGCGTCCCCACAGACACGCAGCAGTGAGTTGTGATCAAGGCGTTCGGCATGAACCGCAAGGCTATATACGAGTTCGGCTCGGCGTCGGAGGCGTCGGACTTTCCAACGAACTACCAGAAGATCGAGAACATGACTTACCCTGACCCGAAGGGCAACGGTGAGCAGTTCACCCTGAAGGTGCGCCGTGACCTGGACGTCAAGAGTCGGAACTTGTTCCTCGCCGTGAGGACGGTCCGCCAGAAATTGGACACGCTTCTTCAAGGCCGCTTCCCTGTCGGGTCCAACGGGCTCGGAAGTGACGTGTGCATACTTTGCAGTGCCGAGGACCCAGTTTGGGTGGCTCATCTCTGGGTGCTAGAAGGCAATGGCGATGCCAAAATCGATCTGCAGCAGCCCACCCTCGACGAATTTGGCATCGGGGCGGAGGCGGCGGCGCTGCTTGAGGCGGCCAATATTGCAATGCGTCGTCCCTTTTAAGCAGTCTCGCAGCAGCCCTAACCGTTCGCAGGAGCATGAGTGTTGCACGCAGTCTAGTTGCTTTTCTCCTCCCTCCTCCCCTCCTTCCTTTGACAGTTCTTCGGGCAGCTCCGATGTGGAAGACAACAGTATGATTACGGATTTCCCCTTCTCTCCCGCTCGCTCTTTCTCGATGGTGACCTGGAGCGCTCACGCTCTCTTTGCTTCAGTGCAGTACGGTGGGGATCTTGGTAGGCAAAGGTATAGGAAATTCTCACGGCTATGTGATAGATATGGCATTGTGTGTGTACAGGAGTGTCATGGGCATGAGGGGGATGTGGAGGGTCTCCGACAGCAGCTGCGTGGGTGTGACACCGGTGCTGCGATGTGCGTGACAGCTGCTGAGGGTGGGGTAATCACGATTGTCAGCAGCAGGTTAACTTTTAGTTTCGCGCGTATCTCTCATCGGCCATTGTGTGAAGGCTGTGTGCTTCTCACGGAGTGTGTCGGCAGGGAGGGTGCTTTCTGTTTCGTCAACGCCCATATGCCGAACACGTGTAATGGGCGGCCACTTTACCGTCAAGTGCTGACACGGATATGTAATGCGCTGCCTGCGTCGTCTCGGTCCTTACTTTATTTTGATTGGGGGTGACTGGAAGTTTGCACTGGAGGATCAAGGGAGACGCGCATATGATGGGATGAGCTGGACGGCGGGGGATAGGTGGCACACGCAGTACTTGGGGACTACATGTAGTAGATGGGCGAAGCTATACCAGGCGGGTCCGACACGGTATGGGTGGGGGAACGATGGGAGAACACACGCGTCGGGCCTGGATCGTATATGTACCGATCTACTGTGTGCGCTGCTGCCCGACTTTACGTTGCAGGCAAAGGTGTGGGACCAGCCTACGCGCTTCGAACCGTTTGATCACCTCCCCGTTGCCGTTGCGATCCAGAGGTCAGACCCCCGTCAGGTTCGCAGGGCTCCCGATTGGCTCTGTCAGACCATTGTGTATCGGCAGCCTGTCCAAGAGGCTCTAGAGGCGATTCCTGCCGACTGGCCCCCGCCCCGTCGTCTCGAGGCCGCGAAGGCGGTCGCGCGCGATCAGGTGACTCCCGCCGAGCGTCTGCTGGCGAACAGGCCCGCGGAGACACCTGAAGAACAGCACCGCTGGGGGGCTATCTGCGCGGTGAGGGGTTGGAGGGCTGGGAGTTTTCAGGTGGTTCGCAAGGCTCTGCTCGCCCGCCCGCTTCGCCGCCAGCTATTCGATGCAGACAGGGGGACTTGCCTTGACTACGATAAGGTCTGCGAATATGCACGCTGGTGTCACTGCAGAGTGCTGGGGGCGCAACTCGCTCGCGAGAGGCTGCCGTGGAATCGTCTGAGCACGGGGGGGCCCAACGCAAGCAAGCCATCGATCGACTGCGCTTTAAGATGCAGACATGGACGGATGGAGTGTCGTGCAGTTCGGTGGGGGAATCGCGGGATGCCCTGGCGCGATGCTGGGGGGGGGGGGGGGGTCTTTGCGCCGGTGTGTGTGTGTGTGCGTGTGTGTGTGTGTGTGTGTGTGTGTGTGTGTGTGTGTGTGTGGGGGGATATGGGTATGTGTGGGAGGAGCTGTTGCAGCGTTGCCAGTCCGCGCGTCAGTTTCGTGACACTATTGGGTGGCGTCTGTGAGAACGCGACTTCCGTGGTCTGGTTCGGGGCAAGCGTAGCGCGGCGCCTGGTCCCCACGGCGTTCCCTACAGTTGCTGGAAAGTCGGGCCTGCGGCGGGCATCTTGTGCCAGGTGTACGAGTACTTATATGATACCAACAGTGCCCACTTCCCTAACGATATGCGGCATGTGCTGCTTACCTTTTTGCCCGTGGGGACAGCGCCCTAACGACGTGAGCGATCCAGTGCTGCGTGATGCCATCAATGCGCGACCGCTTGCTCTCGCTGATGCGTCGTGTAAAGCGCTGTCGATGGGCGTCGGATTGCCTGTGGTGCAGGTTGCCCCTAAAATGGCTATTCATGCACAGCGTGGGGTGGGTGGGTGGGAGGAGTATTGCCCCTCGTATTGTGGAGGCGGAGGAATGGGGGATGCTGCAATGGCTTCGCGGAGTGCCGAACGCCGTGGTATTTCTCGCGGACTTTGCGGCAGCTTTCCCATCGCTCTTTATTTCTTGGATCCTCATGGTGCTGAGTTCGATGGGCATTCCCGCGCCTATCACCTGCTTCTTTGCTGCATTGTGCCCGGTCAGCGCTGCGACGATCGCGCTTGCAGGTCAGCAATTATCGACGATATCGGTTGGGAGAGGCGTGAGACAAGGGGACTCAACCAGCATGTGCCTGTTCTCTTTGTCGTTGGACCCAATCGCGCGTTGGCCTCTGTGGAGGGGGAGCCGTCGCATCGACAAAAACCTGGGGTCTGCGGATGATCTGTTTTTGGACACGCGTAACATCTACTCTGACCTGGCTCCAGCGTGGCGATTATTGGAGTTGCTCGAGATTGCGGCGGGTTTGAAGCTGAAAAACTTGGGGAGTGTCAGATGATAACCACTAGCACAATTGCGATCGACCTGGCGACTGCCTTTTTGGATGGCCCGCCGCAGCGTTATCGCTTTCTTCAGGTGCTGCGACATGCGAAGTACCTAGGTGTAGAGATTGGGGCCTGACCGGCATGTCATTGCCGGGCGAGGAGCACTTGTGAAGTTTCAAAGCCGCGTGTGTATGCTCAGGAAGTTGGGGCTCGGCTTGGCAAGCGCGATTGCGATGTTCTCCTCTACTTGTCTGTGCGCGCGCTGCTACATCATGCAACTCGACGCGCCGTCGAAGGAGGTATTCAGGGCATGCAGTGCTAGTCTTCAACTTCTTGCTGCTGCGCCTCGCTTCTCCTTCCCCCACGAGATGTTGCGCGGCCTCCGCTCGCTTGGGCTGGCCGCGGAATTCCCGTATCTGGTTCGCTGTGCTCGTGCTGTGCAGCTGCGTGCGTTTATTATCTGTGCGTCTTTTGCACGTGCTAAGGCGCGGCTTGAGAGTGTGGTCACCTACCGGCATCTGTGTAATGGACGGGCGGATGACGTTTGCATTGCGCGCGCGATGGGCGGGTGTTGGAGGTGGTCTCTCTCGTGTCAGTGATGTAGTCTGAATAACTGCTGCGCG